TAGTAAATTTGCTCGTGCTTTCAAATGAGCTTGAGCTTACAATTTATAGTATGAAATTTTACTATTCTAAGATTCTCTCTTATCTTCTTTTGTCTTCTTGTGTCAAATAATTTCTTCTTTTGTCAAATCTTCTTTTTCTTTATGTCGAGTCTTCTTTTGCTTTTGTCAAGTCTATTGTCTTTGGTGGCTACAGAGAGATTTCGTAGCAATCATTTTCATTATCAAAATAGCCATAATCATCTTAGATGAAGAATATGAAAATGAAAATGCACAAGAAAATGAAATTTATCAACTAGACAATACTTCAGAAGAATCTGAAGAAGAGCAAAGTTTCTGTTTAGGACCAGGATTATGTAATTGTGATGATTGTAAAACTCCACAAATCAATACTATAACCAGAGATCAGACTCAATCCTTAATAACAATAATAGAAGGCCTTCAAGAAGGACCTTTAAAAGTAGAATTTATCAAAAAACTTAATGAATTTGTAACAAGAGAAGAGCCAAAAGAAGTAGTAATTAAGCCTATAGAAATGACAGAAGTCTTTGAAAGGTTTTGAACTCCTAGTTAACAAACCACTATAAAAGATTTACAAAAAGAAATAGTAAATTTAAAAACAGAAATAAAAGAACTAAAAGAATATCAAAAAGACTTAGAAATCAGATTACTTTCTTTGGAAGGTAAAGAGATTCTTAAACTACAAGAAAATCAAACTAGTACATCAGGAACAAAAGTAGAAGAGCAACCAGATATATTTAATTTAGAATTATTAACACTGATAACTTCACACAAATGGTGGTGTGAAATAACACTAATTGTAGAACAAGAAAAGTTTAACTTAATAGCTCTAATAGACTCAGGAGCAGATGTTAATTGTATACAAGAAGGAATAATCCTACAAAATATTATGAAAAAACTACAGAACAATTATCAGCTGTAGGGGGAAATAAACTTAAAATAAATTACAAATTATCAAAAGGAAAAATTTGTAAAAACAAAATATGTTTTACCACATCATTTATATTAGTAAAAGATATAGGAAACAAAATAATATTAGGAACCCCCTTTCTAACATTATTATATCCTTGTGAAATTAACAATACAGGAATTATTAGTAAGGTAATACCAGACAGAGAGATAAATTTTGAATTTTGACAACCGCCAAAGATTAGAGAACTAAATTTAGTACAAGAAGCATCAATAACAGGAATAAATCAAATAGAAAGAAAACAAAAATAGATTAACTTTATAAATAAAGAAATAGAATATAAAAGAATTGAAGAACAATTAAAAAATAAAAAAATAAAAAAAATTATACAAGATTTTGAAAAAAGAATTACGAGAAAAATTTGTAATCTAAATCATATAGCATTTCATCACAGGAAGAAATATGAAATAGAGTTACCATATGAAGAAAGATTTGATGAAACAAATATTCCTACAAAAGCTAGACCAATACAGATGAATGAAGAACAGTTAAAATTCTGTAAACAAGAATTATAGGAATATTTGGAAAAAGGTTTAATTAGAACTTCAAAATCTCCTTGGAGTTGTACTGGGTTTTATGTAAATAAAGTTTCAGAACAAGAAAGAGGAGCTCCACGATTAGTAATAAACTACAAACCTCTCAATAAAGTATTAAAATAGATTAGGTATCCTATACCCAATAAACAAGATTTAATTAAAAGACTAATTAATGCTAATATATTCTCAAAATTTGATATGAAATCAGGATACTACCAAATATCTGTAAAAGAACAAGATAGATACAAAACAACTTTTGTTGTACCATTCGGGCATTTTGAATGGAATGTAATGCCTCAGGGACTAAAAAATGCCCCAAGTGAATTTCAATAGATTATGAACAATATATTCTATCCATACATGAACTTTTCAATAGTTTATTTAGATGATGTATTAATTTTTTCAAAGGGAATCAACCAACATATACAACACTTAAATAAATTTATAGATTTAATAAAACAAAACGAGTTATGTGTATCTGCTAAGAAAATAAAAATTTTCCAAGACAAAATTAGATTTTTAGGATTCAATATTTATCAAGGAACAATAACACCTATACAAAGATCTATAGAATTTGCTGATAAATTTCCAGATCAATTAAAAGAGAAAACTCAATTACAAAGGTTTTTAGGGTGTTTAAATTATGTGGCAGACTTTTTACCAAATATTAGAACAATATGTACTCCTTTATATAAGCATCTCAGGAAGAATCCCCAACCTTGGGATGAAGAAATGACCAAAATAGTCAAACAGGTAAAAGTTTTAGTTAAAAATCTCCCTTTCTTAGGAATACCAGATCCTTCAGCCTATTTGTAGAAACAGACGCCTCAGATCTAGGGTATGAGGGAATTCTTAAACAAAAAATATCAGAGTCTAAAACAAAACAAGTTATAAGATATTATTCAGGAATATGGCATCCTGCACAACAAAAATATTCTACTGTTAAGAAAGAAATTTTAAGCATTGTTTTATGCATTCAAAAATTTCAAGATGATTTATTTAACAAAATATTTTTAGTAAGAACTGATTGCAAAGCAGCACTTTCTGTTTTACAAAAAGATGTTCAAAACTTAGTTTCAAAACATATTTTCGCCAGATGGCAAGCATTATTATCTAATTTTGATTTTGAAATACAACATATTAAAGGAGAAAAGAACTTTTATCAGATTATTTAACAAGAGAATTTTTACAGGAAAAATGTCATTTTGTCAAAAATGACAGTGCCGACTATACCCTACCAAAAAAGAGTGAACCAGAAATACCAAAAAACCCCACCAGAGATAAAGGTAAAAAGTTAATGACTTGCTTACAGGTATTACAAAATAAAACTCAAATCCAAACACCAGAATTAACCAAACAATATACAGTTTTAGTCAAACCAGGACAAGATTCCCAGACAGCCACCACACAAACCAGAAAATTACCATCATGAGCAGAATCTGCCTATAAAAGACCAACAATAACTGATAAGACTCCAGAGTACTTTGAAAAACTATATGGCCTTCCTATAATGGAAATAGAAGCAGAATGGTTTAAATTAAACCGTTCTGAAATAGCAAAAAGAGTTTTTCCTCAAGATTGTCATGTAGTTCCATCATCATTAAAACAAAAAAGAGAATTTTATGAGCTAATCCTTATTGATTCAAAATCAATAGAATTAACTCATAAGAGAAATGAGAAAAAAGAAATTATTTTTTCAAAATTCAAAATTTGTCAGATACTTACTCCAAAAGAGTGGGGATAACACTTATACTGTTATTGAAAATTTACAATAGAATATCAGCCTCCACAATACAATTACTTTGATTATATAAAAGCATGGGAGAAATTTCTATTTCTTCGACCAGACACCCACTCCTGGTTCATTTGGTTCAATAAAGGGATTTCTTTATATTTTCCAAAATGGTTTTTAGCTTGGTTCCACAATTTTCGGCCAGTTAAACAAATCCTACCAGAAAGAGCTCAAATTGCCTTAGCTCATTTCCAAGAAAAAACCAATTTTCAAGAACCATATAAATTCATTTCTTTCATAGCCTCACAAGGTATTTCATGGATAATGATGTGACAGTATGATTCTGCCAAGCTAGAATATGATTCTTCAATACAGTTACTAATAAGAACCATAAAAGTTAAGTGGTGGGTTAATTTTGATCTAGATTTACTCACTACCGAGAAAATTATACAATGGGTACATAACAATGTCCAACATCCTTCTTTAAATGAGACCGTGATCAATGATAAACAAAAACAAGCCTTTCTTCAACAAAAAGCAAGATTTCTAGCTAGTTTAAGCACAGCTGGAAGTGAAGAGGAGTTCAAGAAAATCATTGAAACCATATCTCCAGAAGTTACCAGCATAACCTCTGACTAAGACAACAGAAGAAGCCTTAGTCCAGCCGGTGACGATGACTATGGCTATTTTGATTATGAAAATGATTGCTACGGAATCTCTCTGTAGCCACCAAAGACAATAGACTTGACAAAAGCAAAAGAAGACTCGACATAAAGAAAAAGAAGATTTGACAAAAGAAGAAATTATTTGACACAAGAAGACAAAAGAAGATAAGAGAGAATCTTAGAATAGTAAAATTTCATACTATAAATTGTAAGCTCAAGCTCATTTGAAAGCACGAGCAAATTTATTACCCTCAATATCTTTAAGAAAAATTCTCTCATTGTAATAGTCTTAACGTCTATTTGAGAAGTTTACAAGAAGTTTGTACTACAATATTGTAAATTTTATCAAAGTTTTAATATATCATCATTTTCATCATGTTTACTTTTATTTTGAAATCAATCGATCCTCACCAAACTGGTATATATATATATATATATATATAATCTTATAATCCTAATTATATGTAATGAGATTTAATAAGAGTAGCTTTCTCACCTAATACATTTCTTATGTATATTGAAAAAAAAAAAGAGAAAATATTTATTAAAAAAAATGTTAGTAAAGTGATGGTATCATAAACTACCTCCTTTGAAAGATAACGTCTATTTTATTTATCTTTGTCATATATAAGTATTAGACAAACTTAAAGTTGATAAAAGATTAAAATTCACTTCAAAGAATAAAATATATATTTATCTTTATATAATAAAGATAAGAGTATTTTTTATTTTTTTTCACTCCACACGTTTACTACTTTTTTTATAAGGAAACATAAGAAAATTGCTGAAAACACACTTTAGCTAGTTTTTAAATAAGCATTGTTCTTATTAGCAACATTAAAAAAAAAAAAAAAGGACCTTGTGTTAAACAAATATGTGTACGTCTCTTGCATCTAAAAGGTCTTATGCGAATATAAAAGGAGATAAGACATTAAGACATGTAGAATGTGCAAATGAACTTACTACAATGTTTTATCTTTTATGTGATCAAGTGTTATTTTTAAAACATTCTTGCATTCTTTGTTTTCGACAGGCCTTGTTGAACATTTTCTAATAACCTTAATCTTTTTTCTTTTTAAGTTCTTAGGAGTTCGTCGTTTAGAGAAACTTGGGGAGGAAAAAACAAATTATAGAACATGGTGAAGCTTACACAAAATTACTTAGAGTGATATGCTTTATATTTGATTCAACTACTTTAGTGAAATTTTTGATAATTTGTAAAGGCCAAACGTATCCTTAAGTTTTATGGGGGTGATCCGGCACAACTCTCGAAGTTTAATCTCTCTTTCATATCCCTCATTTATTTATCCAACATAAAAGGATTGTTGGATTGGAGAGCTTCTTTTTTTTTTAATCCTTTTGAAAATTCTTTGAAGTTATGCAAAACACATTGTCTGTATCATAAACTAGAGTAGTTCTTCGTCTGTCTCATAAACTAACAGTTGTTTAACAATTTTTTAGTAGTTTGCAAAAACTTTATAAAGGAGACAAAACTCAATTCAACCTCGTGTTTTTCTGCTTTCTTTTTCAGTAGCATTTATTAATAAATGAACTACTTTGTATTTAAACAATAAACCAAGGATGTTGAAGGGCAGAAAAGGGATTTAGTTATCGGGAAATAACCTTATATTTAACTCAATTCTAAAATGAACCTGATATTTATTGACAATGGTAATATTTTGCATCTAAAACCTCACATCTAAATATTCAAACTTGAGATAAAACGATCGACTAAACTACGACCTGATCAGGGTTTTCAAAGAATCATAAATTAGTTAACAAAACGGAAAATTTTAATATATAAAAGAAGTTAAATTCATCATGTTATTTCTACGTATACATCTTTTATAGCACATTTCTTTTCTGGTTTATTTAATCGCACATTAATTAAGATCATTAAAAATGATTACCACAACTTGTGGTCATGCGCATCCAAACTCCTAGCATTTAAGTCTCAGCTCTAACTATCTACATACAATCCTTCACGGACCAAACTATTTATTGTCACCTTTATTATTACCAAACCAAAATGCCTTATAAGGAGAACAAAACGAAGATACTGCTCTCACTCAAAATTAAGACGTATGAATGAAGTTATCATGAGACTAGGGAAACTTGTGCCATTTGAATCCTTTTTTGAATAAGGAGTTAGCTTAAGCTATGAATTTAGAGAAGAGTAAGACTGACCATAGTCCTTTAGTTTACCAAGATTGTCCCTATTGTATTTAGAGAATAATTCAATTTATATAAATGTCCCTATTCTGTTTCAGCTGTAAGACCTTTAGTTCACCAAGACTGAACCAAAGCTAAAGCTTCAAATTGGAAAGCTGTAGAAGAAATCCAAAAGTGCTAGAAAGAAGCTACGTTAAGGCTTGAAGAAGACTCGTACAGTATATTTCATAGATCGGTTTCATAATGCTTAGAGAATGTTCCTTTATAAGACACCAAATCAAATTCATGAGCATAATGAACACTCCAAACCCATTTACATCCAAAGTCAAAGTGAATCTATCCTATACAAATTTGTTTCATACAATAAAACATTTGACGCACCATCTTGAACAGGCAAATTTCCCTCCAAGGATACAACTCTAATCCTGATATAATACCAAGATTCAAGTTTTATCAAATCCATAAGCTAAGAAAGTTGACATGACCATTATAAATATTACCACATTCTTCTGAATCCATATCAACCAAATGGTAATGAACAAGGCATCATCCATACCTTTTTCATTTTATTTCATCACATCAAGTCACTTAGGGAACTCAATATAGTTAGGACTTTGGTCCCTTGGCAATGCAAGAAAATAACAGAACTATCATGCCAACAAAATGCAGTTAGTCAAAAATAGATCTATGTTAATTCTACTTGGTTTCAAATTCCCTATTCTGATGGCATTTTCACATTAGTCAAAATCTTAAATGTCTGTTAAGGCGTCTTCTTTAATCAATGAACCTCAGAGGAAACCTTGTTAAACAAATAATATAAAATAAATTATACGTAATTTGTATCTTAATTCCTTTAAATAAACCAAGAATCCCAGGCACCAGAATTAAGTGAGTTTGGCATATGATCATGCAGAATCAAAATTCTATGTTGCGATTCCCAATCCATGCAAACAAAACTTCAGAATCAGATACAAATTCTTAGTCCAAAAACAAATAATTGGATAAATTGTTATGTTGCCCATTTTATATGACTAAGAAAGAAATAAGCAAGGGCAGAAAAAACTACGAACATGTACAGATATTAGAGAAAAAGGTTTTTTTTTTTTCTTGGCACCTAATGCTTCACCATTAAATCATAATATTATATATCAGAGAGTGAAAATGTCCATTCTATACACTGCAATGTTTAGAAAATCAATATTATATTCTATAATTAGCTGATTAGTTTTGTTTCTTTTTCAGTCTCAGCTTTAGGAGCAGTATCCTTCAATGCAACCTTTCGTTTATTTTGAATTTGATGAACAAATTCAGAAGCTATTACATGGAACTTCAGAGTAGGCTTACGATTAGGAGGAATAGTATTCCCTGCCCCTGCCCCTGCCCTTCTTAGTGCACGAGCCAAACACCTTTCACCCAATTGGTAATGAGTGGGGCATGCAGAAGGAACCATGGACCTCAATACTGGCTTATTACAAAAAGAAGGCCCTGTTGGCAAACTGCATAAAGCCAAGAACTTTGTCAGCAAAGCTGATTGCTCTAGATATTGGTATGTATTGCAAATAAAAGAAATCTATACATGTAAATGTAAGAAATGTTCCTGTGTGTAGCAAATAAATTTAATTTAATGATTAAATGAAGCAAGATAACCCTAATAATTGAATGAAGGGGTGTGACTTATGGGAAGGAGTATCTTAAGTTTTAATTCCCTGATCGAGGCAATTATATATATTGAAAAGACATCGAACAGTCTCTATCTCTGCCAGTTAAAGTATGTCTGTTGATCTCCATCAAGTGTAGGGCCACAAGAATGGAAAGAGATAAATAAAAGTTTATATATATTCTTCATGGAAATTTCTACGATCTCTCACCATGGGTAAAAGTCAGTATTTAATCTTATTAATGAGGACTATGAATTCTCAAGATCATTATCCTAGACAAATCAAATAATGAAAGTTTACAGTAAACAGAAAAGGATAGAAAGATCAACTTACCAATTGTGGGTATGAAAACAAGAATACAGTACAGAACAAGCATTCAATACCTTAAACTAGCAAGATAGACTAAAAAATTCCAACTTTTACTAGAAAGGACTACTTTATAGAATCCAAAAATGGTACAGTGCAACATGGTTTAATGGTTTGGTAAGCGGTGAAATTAACTATTTTACAAGCATGCTCATATGACACCCAAACAGCCACAAATTACAAAAGTCTACAGACATGATGGAAGTCCAGCAGGTGACATTACTGTAAGTAACATAACATACCAATCTCTAAAAGACATGGTAGATTGATTGCTGAAAAATCTCAAGAATTTTGAATCAAACTACTCCCTAAGACAGAAAGCTAGCTGGTTCTGAATCCTTGAACTTCAAATTGAATTAATCATTTGTAAACCATAAGTTACTTTCATAAAACATCATTTGTCACAAGGTTAGTTTCTTTTTCCTCATAAATACAGCTTTTTGGCACAAGATTGGTAAATGGATTTTGAGCAACATTACCAAACCAAAACATTTGCAAATTGAAGATACCACTCAAGCACAGATAACTGTCATGATTTTCATTTTACAGAACCCACAACTTTTTCATTGCATTTTAAATGAAGGTTCTCTCTTCTTTGGAATAAGGTAGATTGTGGTTGCTGTTCAGTCTTGTTTTGGTTCAGAAGATCGAAAGGTTTCAGGTGGGAATAAATGACTAAATGTCAATGAACAAAAGTGAGCCCTTAACGTGTGCGTTGTGGTTGAAATACAAATTAAATAGCTACATTTTCTACCTTAAAAATTCAATCAGAGTATGTTTGAATAAGGTAATACAGGAAGGGAAAGTAATATTTGAGTGAATTTAAAATACCATAGTTAACATTACTTTGTTTAAATATTTACTCAAAAAGATTTTAAATTTCTAGGAATTTAAATGGAGTATTTTAATGTCTAAAATCAACGGTTTGAAATTCTACCAAAATAGGTGGAATTTTCAAAATTCATTGCTCTCTCCCACAACCTTTTTCTCTAATTCCATCATGTTCCCTTTCCAACTTGGTAGTTGCTTCTCACACTTATGCACTTCCATTCCAAGTCCATCACCAGAAACCTAACAAAGAGAAAGCTCTAAATCTAAGATTAAATGAACAGCAAGATCTTGAATCTGAGATTAAACCAACTCTACAGCCAGATTTTCCATATTCCAATTCCAAGTGAATGTTCAAACTGGACTTCCTTCACATGGAATTGTCTCAAAAGAATGCTTGAGAAGAACACATTGTTGTGCTTTCTCGGCGGTTGATCCATTGACGACAAAGAATCTCAGTGAAAAACAAAGGTAACATGGATAGTTATGGACACTGTGCTCCTCTTGACAAAAAAGTGTCAAAAGGATGAACTATCCAAACAGATAGTTTTGGAAATACTGGTATTTTAATTGTAGCAATTAGATTTCTTAGAATTTATAATTGTCTGAAATTTTCCTAAACCAAACAGAAGCATATAAACGACCCAGAAGCCACACTGATTCTATACACACTGCATGAAATTATGAAACAGAGAAAAAATACAAAGCTTTTTTTGTACTTAGTGAACATATATACAGTATATTCAAGCACCAACCAGTAAAAAATCTTCAAACTTTACACAGCCAAACAATCAATATCGAGAAACAAAATCCAATTTCAGAAAATTAAATAAAATCACGCGCTGAAATTTGCGAGGGGGACCTAGCATTTTGGGTAAAAAAAAATATTTTAATCATTATTTTGGATGAAAAAAAGTTGTTCTATCAGTAAAATTAGTGTCATTTTCATTATTTACTCCAAACTACTTTCTAATCTCACTCCAATGTTCGTAAACACATTTTTAATTTAAAAATTAAAAATCAGAGGAAAAAAAATACTTACTTTTTGGCTACGGCTCTGCATCCCTGATAAAGCATCTGTTTTGAATCGGACAATATATGAGCGTGGCAATACTTGGTTAAAGCCATAGCCTTAGTCTTGCACCCACCAAAACGACACCGTACGATATCATCACCAACACCAGAGACGACGCCGTTTGGATTCTCGTTGTCGCTGTCGGCGTGATCCTCCTTAAAGGGGCTTTTGCCATAGGTCCAATAGTACTCTCTATACTTGGACTTGAGCTCTTCCATCAGGGCCCAATAGTGGCCCCGGTAGCACCGACTCAGTTGCTTCAATCGCCGGAGCCGGCGCCGGAGAACCTCTTCCCGAGTCAGGAATCGCGAGTTCGCCAGAGCCGCGTCGTGGCCACCGCCGTCAATGACCATCGGACGCGGCGGAGAGGAAGCGGAACCCGACTCGTCCATCGATGATGCTGAGTCGCCAACTCGGCGAGGAAAAAGGTGACGCAGGTTTTTCGGTGGAACTTGATGAGGTTAGTTACAATTTTTTCTCTTTTTTTTCTTATAATTTGTTTGAAACTTCGGAGTTTTGAAGAAAGGAACAGCTTTACTTTGTCACTGCCAGCCAACAATGTGACAGAAAGGAAATGTTTATTTTATGCCATTTGCTAACTCTCCTTCACTCCCTTAATCAAAATGAACAAGTTTTTAATATAAAATATTATGGACATTTAATAAGTAATTAAAAATATAAGTATTTATTATTTTTTAAAGATATAAAAGCTTAATAAATATAAGTATTTAATATCAATTTTAAGAGTTACAAATTACAATTAACAGAGCCTCCAGCTTAAAGAAATAAAGTAACTTTTTTTTTGGTTAAAATTTGTTATCTCTATTTGTCATTCTTAGAATTTTTTAATTATTTTACTAGAGCAATTTTTTAACATCACAGGTTAAGAAATTAATATATAGTAATTTTATTAAAAATTATAGTATTTAATATTATTAATATATTAAAATTTACAATATTTTATTGTTTTTAATCATTTATAAATTTTTATTATGTGCTTTTAGTATATACACATTAAAAAATTATTGTAAGAATTAAAAATATTTTTAAAAAATACGTATTTTAAGAAGTATTGAATCCATTTTATCAAATACTTTAATGTGTCATAAAAATATATATTTATATTTTTTATAATTTTAAGATAATAAATATTTTTATTTAGAATAAAAGTATTTCTACATTAAATTTCTTTAGATTTATGTTGGCAACACATTGAAAAAATGGAATTAAAAATGTAATTAATTTTACTAGTAACATTAAATTCATAAACAATTTAGATTATTTTCTTAAAACTGTCCTTAGAAATTTTAGAACTCATTATCTTTAATTACTTTTTCTTTAGTGAAGGTATTTTTGTAAGAAAATAATTAATTCAAGAAACAATTTACAAGGGATCTTATTAAAAAAAAAACCTCTAAAATAGTCTCATATTTAGGAACAAAGATGGGTATTAATGTGTTTTTTATGTAATTTCAAATGCAGAGTTAATGTGATTTTTAATTAAAAAATTACTTTTTATTAAACTTAATCTTTAAAATATTTTTAAATTGAACTTGAATAAATATGATAATTTATTATTATTGTTATTACTATTATTATTGTTATTATTATTATTATTATTATTATTATTATGTCAGATGCTAACTTTCGTTCGCCCCTTAATTAAAATGAAAAAGTTTTTAATGAAAAAATTTAATGGACATTTAATAAATAATTAAAATAATATATTTTTATAAAAAAAGTGATTTTAAAAAATATAAAAGTATAATAAATATTATATTTTAAATAAAAAATATTTTTTTATAGTATTTAATGTCAATTTTGAAAGTTACAATTAACATAATCGATAAAATAAAATAGAAAAAATCAATTAGTGAGTGCAGCTTAAAGAAATAAAGTAATTTAAAATAATTATTTTTCCTATTTGTCAATCTAAGATTTTTCTTAATTATTTTACAAGAGTAATTTTTTAAAAGTAATGTTCAAGAGCATGTATTCAAAAATTAATCTATAATAATTTTTATTAAAAATTATAGCATTTAATATTATTAATATATTAATTTTTATAATACCTTATTATTTTTAATAAAAATTTTCTATTTATAAATATTTATTATAAAATAATTATTATAAGAATTAAGATAATTTTTTTAATATGTTTAAAAAGACATATGTTAAAAGTATTAAATAATATTTTATTAAATACATTAAATTATTATAAAAATATATATTTAATTTTTTTTATAATTTTAAAATAATAAATATTTTTATTTTAAATAAAAAATTATATTAAACTTATGTTGGCAAAACATTCGAAAGCTCGAATTAAAAAATGTAATTAGCTTCATTAATGACATTAAACTTATAAATAAATCAATCAAATATGTTTTCAAAATTATCCTTAAAAATATTAAAACTCATTATCTTACTCTCTTTTTAACTAATTAATTATTTTGTTTAATTTTGTTTCTCTTGTGGATATTTTTATAAGAAAATAATTAATGCAAGAAATAATTGTAGGCAAAATGTCTAGAATAGACATACTTAAGAACAGATAGTATTACTATTAGTGCGTCTTTCATATGATTTTTAATGTAACGCGATCTTCAAAAAAATTACTTTTTATCAAACTTAATCCTTAAAACAGTTTTTAAATTTGATCTTAAATAATAATAATAATAATAATAATAATAATATATTATTAAAATATATATATATATATATATATATACATATATTATATCAAACATACAAAAGTATAATTTTTTTATCAATAAAATTTTATATTATTAGTCGTTTAAACCTTATTTTAAAGATTAATGTTAATATGTTTTGAAAAATATAATTAAGAAAATAAATTTTAGTTAATAAGATAGTTATTTTATTATTTATTTTTCTAACATGTGTTTTAAAAATATACAATAAATTTTTTATAAAATAAATTTTATTAAAAATATAAATTTCAAAGTGTTGATAATATCAAATGCTATAATTTTTAATAAACATTATTTATTAATTTTTATTTGTATCTTTACATGTGTATTGAAAAATCATTTTAATATTATTGTTCTTAATTTGGTATGATATTAAACATAGGCTATGGAAGAAGAACTATTCTAACACAATAAAGTGTTATTAAAAGAGATATAAAGTAACAGTAATGTTATTTTGCAAAAAAGTATTGTTACACAAAAGTAGAAATATATATAATTATAGATTTGCATACAGTAGTTTTGTTTAAATTGTGATTATTAGTGGCTAATTTTAGCTGAGTTATTTGGGAAGTTTGGATAAACTTCTAAAAAAGTTATAAGCAAAATTTGATGATGTTTAATACAAAATTTTCATTTAAGCAAAATTGATGATGTTTAATACAAAATTTTGTTTAAATATCAAGGTTTGATATTATTAAAATTTTGAACATAAACTTGATCTATAAGTAAAATAAAGTAATTAAATTTAAGGTTAAACTGTCTTAAACAATATAAATTAAGAACCTCTTTTTTATATACCCTTTTCATTTGTTGTTAACTTACCATATTAGACATTTTTATTGTCTAATAAATCTATAGTTTATTGAGCTAGTGTATGCATGTAACCTCTCTTAGTTGGAATCATCACCTTATAATTTTTCAAGCCATCAAGGGGTAATGATAGAGCCTTATCATTGAGTAATAAGTTAGGAATTCCTTTAACTCATAATCTCTAGCAGTTTTTAAAATTGAGCTTAGATAATTAAATATTAAAAAAATTGTACTATATCATAGATACAAAACTATAATGATTTTTACAAATAAAATCTTATTAAAAGAGAGTGTAATACACACTAACACTAACATAATTTGATCCTCTCCTATATATTAAACAACTTTATTGACATCATTAATTTAATATACAAAATAATTTTTATTAATTTAATTATTAAATTATAATTATACATTATTTAAATTATTTATGTCAAATTTTATCAAAATTGAATATTCATAAAAATCTTATCAAATAATTCTTATTTTCATATATTTAAAAAATATTTTGCATGTATGATCTATGTAATTTATCTCATAATATATATATATATATATATATATATATTAAATTATGATAATCTTAATTTCAATATACATTTTAAATTTTGACACGACATATGAAAAAAAAAAAAAGGATTTTTAAATTTAATATATTTAAATTTTATAATTTTTCTTAATTTTAAAATTTGTGTTCGTAATTCATCCCTATTGAATATAATCAAATGTTTATTATAAATAATATAAGAGATTCTTTTAATTTAATTATATTTATACAATGCAACAAAAAAAATCACTAATAACATTTTAATAAAATACTTGATGCAAGTAAAAAATATATACCTTGACCTTTATTTTATAACACTGGCTAATAGCTAAAAGTTACGAGTATCAAACTTGTATTTATGAAACTAAATGAAAACTTTTAACTTTTGGTTGATTTATTACAGTTGTACAGGTAGTTAACTAAAATAGAAGATAAAATTAACGATACAATTAATTAATATCTATTAAATAGCTTACAAAATATAATACTAAGGTTAAATGTTAGTAATTTTCTTCATTTATTTATTATGAACTTTTTAATTTAATAATTAAATATTTATTATTATTATTAATCAATTCATTAAATAATTAAAAAATAAAAGTAAGAGTAAAAATAAAAGAAATCATTCATCGGTAGCTTCAAAAGGTTACGAGTTATTTAGGTGATATTTTAAAATTATTTTTATCAGTTACAATTTTATTTTAAAATTTTTATCTAACTCTTTAAATTAAATTTAAATAATAAATAGTGATAAAATTTTATTAAAAGATTTTTTTTTTTTTAAAATTCTCAATATAATAAATATATTATTTTAATAAGAAGTTAATATTATAGTTAAACTCAACTTTTAAATTGAGGTAACAAAACTTATTTTTCATTTATCAAAAAATTAATTAATTTACTAAATAGATATTAACGTTACTAAACATATTCATAATAAATATAAATAAATTTTAAAAATTATTTTGTTAAAAAAAGGAGTGAATATTATATACTAGAATAAATAAACATAAACTAATATTAAGTTTTGTTAAATTTTTAAATAAGTATTTATAAGGATTAAAAATTTAATGAATCAAACATCTTACATAAATTAAAATTAATTTGTATTTTTTATTTTTAAACATTTATGTTGTATAATTTGTTTAAAATTTAAAGAGTATATATTATTTTGAATTTGTGAGATAATTTTTATTTAATTTTTTATAAATATTTATTTCAAAATTTATTTAAATAACATTAAAATAGCAAAAAAAAAAAAAAAAGTCCATATCTTCCCAGAACGTGCAGTACTGTTGAGGTTCCTGAGTCCAATTGTGGAACATTAATTTTTTTCAGTTAGCTAATTATTATCTTTGACGTAATATTTAAAAAAAATTACTTTGATTTTTATTAAAAAATTAATGTATTAAATATCACAACCTTTACTAAAAACATTTTATCTGGTGGGAGTTAGATTAGAAAAAAAAAAAAAAAAAACAGAAAGGACCAAAAGCTGCAAAACCAATGGGCATTCAGTAATCGGCATTCCTATTGTTATTTAAACATACTTTAATACTTCAATTTTTAATGAATTCAATTAAAATATACTAACAACATAATGATATACAATTTATATTCATAATATATTCTAATTAATTGGTAGAATAAAAAATATTAATTGTCCTAAAAAATTAATGAGTATTTTATTTTTAAAATATTAAATATAAAAATAATATAAAATAATAGATAAAAACTATGTTGAAGTAGTATAATATAAAACTTATGAATATGTAAGCAAAATAACTGTTAGTAATAAATTTTAAAAGTTATAGTACTTATAATTTAATTATTAATAAATTTTATAAATTTAGAATTTTTATTTTTTAGATATTTAAAAGGTCTTTTAGAACTATGTTTTTTTAAGATAACTATTTTTTAAGAACAAAAGTGTTGATTCATGTAAAATTTAATCATATTAGCTCAAACTTATTCTAATTTTTACTTCTAAAGCAAGTTTAAGAATTTTCTTTACATTTCTACAACTAGTTTGATGATAGATTGTGTGGATGTAGTTGAAATTTAAGATATAAGAATCCAAAAGAGATATTAAGATAAGAAATCAAATAGAATTAAGTAATTCTCGTTTGAAATATTATTGTGTAAGTTTTGTTCAATTTTTATTTGTCATACTTCAATTCCACTTTACTCTCTCTGTTTAATAAAATACGAACATATTTCTTAAATTTATCCTAAATCCAAATAACTCGACTTTCTTTACATTTTCATACTTTGAACTATGATATTTGTAAGTGAGACCAATTAAAATTGAAAATATCATTTAGTTAGAGATGAAAATAGGCTAGACTTTGCATAAATAGACTTAACCTGTTTAATAATTTTAAAACTCGAGCCTGACCTATTACCTGTCATAAGTTTTTTATGAGTCTAACCTTACCTTTTTAAAAATCTGATTTAACTTATTAGCCTGTTTAATAGCCTACTTCGTATTGATACATTTAATAGGTCATTAAGCTTCTTTGTAAATAGGTTATTAAATTATCTAAATAGACATATCTTTTTAAAATTCATAAGACTTATATGTAAATAAACTATTAGAAGATATGTAATAAAGATCTTCTTCAACTTTAACAAAAAGGATTAGGATTTTTAATTTAAAATTTTATTATTTTAAAATTTAATTGATTTAATATATTATTATAAATTTTAAAAAAGACATTCTAATAGGCCTAATAGACTTTTTTTTTAAACTCAAACCTGACCTATTTAATTAATTAGACTTTTTAAAAAGTCTAAATTAAGCTTATTAATTACATAGGTTAGGCCAAACTAGGTTTTAAAAATGTTAGGCCGTAAACTCCTGTCAGACAGTCTGGCTTATTTTCATCTTTACATATAGTCATCCCAATTATTTTAGAAATTAACACTTTGGTGTAATCAAAATAGGAGTAACGACTAAAGAGATGTGGTTAAATAATTAGAAATCAACACTTTGATGTAATTAGAATATAGGTAATGACTAAAGAGATGTGGTTAAACAATAAAAAAAATAGGAAGTTCATTCACAATAATTTTCGCTTAAGTCATACTTAAGCAAATTATAGACAATATATGAATTAAGCAAATATAATTTTGTTTAAGCCAAATATTATTCATTTAAGCAAATATTATAATATCTTATGTAACTTAAGCGAAATAATTTTAGTGGGCCATTTTTTTCTCTTGTATTTTTGCTCAAGCTAGCAAAAATTGGCCTAAGAGAAATTTGCATGAATTATTTGAGGCCGATCATTATTTAGAGAAGGCATAGGAAAGATCTAAAATAACGAGTATAGAAAAGATTTAAAAGGACATTAAACAATTTATTAATATAAAAATTTATTTTTATGATAAATTGAAACTATAAATAAGAATAAAGGTAAAAATTTTAATTTTAAAAATCATTAACTTTGCACATAGTCTGTAAAAAACTTGAAAATTTAAAATAACATTTAACATTTATTAATTAAAAAATTATTTTTTATTATAAATTAAAATTGAATCAATACATTTAAATGCATACCTTCATTAAATTACCACCCCTAGGTATAAAACACATATAAGTGATGCACTTTAAAAAAAACAAATTTTAAAGATATAAAATAACATATTTTAAAAGTCTAAAAAATAATTTTATAAATTTTTATAAAAAATTAAATAATAAATATATAAAAATCAATATTATTAAGTTATTAAAAATCAGAATTATTTATGTATTTTAAAGTAATTAGATTTAAAAAAAATCTTTCACTTGTACACCACTTACTCTCTTAACTCAGGCAAATAATAATTAATCTTAAAAAGTTATTAAATATTCAAGGATTCTACCTTTAATTAAATTAATTATATATAAATTTTTATTGTTTCTCCGCTTGAGCTGCGTTAAAAAATGTGGAGACGGAGCATCAAGTTCAGCAACGCGCCGGTGGTGGGTCCAGAAGCTATTATTTAAATCGAATTAAAAATAATAATAATAAAGAAAAAAAAAAGAGGTTGAAGAAGCAAGCACAAGAAAACCTAATTGGGAGAGTTTCACCCTCATTTCTCATCTCCACCGTCATCGTCACAGAGGTAAGTTCCCTTCTTTCAAATCCTTTTAGCTATTAAATCTGAAACTTGACGTGTTATATTCAAATTCTTCCATGCAATCATCTGTATTCGATTTGGATAGCTATATTTCTGGTTTTCTTTTTTAATGAGGTAGAGTTGGGCCCAATTTGAAGTGGGCTTTGGTCACTCACCTGGTTTTTGTTTACTGGAATCTGAAAGGTTCGATCTTGGTTTCTTTTGATTTGTTTATACGTGTTGTTAGTTAATCGCATCTGGGTGTTTTAGTTGGCTGAGGTGTGAATTTGCAACTTGAGTTTCGGTCATTCATCGTTTGACTAGAAAGTTGACGTGTCTGTTTTGACTGCTTTGTTACTTTTTCGAATTTCTATCCCATTTTGAAGCACTTTTCTGGTGTTTGAATGGAAAGAAAAAGAAACAGTGGATCTAAAACATTCTGGGTTTTCCAGAGTTTTTTTTTTTTTTTTTTTAAAGAACAAAGAAATACACACGAAAGATGTACACTCATATATATATGAACTCTGTCAATCCAATCGTTCAATAATATAATATGTTCATGCTGAGTAGTCTAGAAAGTATATTGGACATTAGAATAAAGTTGTTCGATCAGCTATCAATTTGTTTTAATTTAATTTTTTTGTAGGCTTGATTTATTTAAGAAAAACTTTTATTTAACGGTTATATTGGTGAAATTTAATGTTTATATAGAGTTATTGAGCTGAGTAACTCTTCTTAAAATTATCTCTGGAGCAACTCTGCGCTAAATATGTGTGTGTGGAACTTTTGTTCTTGTGCGTGGGACACATTAAACATCGCATGAAAGAAATTTTTTGTATGTATGAAATGAAATTATTGTTGTTTTCGGATCATAGTCCAAAAATTTCACTTAAGCCATTTTATGCAAATAAGATCTTAATTCTTTGAGATCAGTGTCATTTTATCAATCTCTCTCATACACATTTTTTGGTGAGCCTCATGCATATTTTAAATTTAATCAGTTATTTGCTCATCACTATTTTTTTTTTTTTTTCTATACCAAAATACGATGCCATATTAACCTCTGGATTTCACAAGGATAATTACATCAATTTTTATCCACTCTGGGAACAGTATCAATACATATGTGAGGATGTCAACTACCAATGTTTTATCTATAATGCATCAATATTTCTAAACATTCTTTAAAGTGGTCCATTAATAATCATTAACAAGGAGTTTCACTCTCCATGTATGGCATACAACCACCCAAATCAATCTATCTGTGTATTGGTTTTTAATGGGCTAAATTTACTAATTCCAATTCATTCATTGGATGGGTAAAGGATCACCAGACATACCTGCTGCCATTAATTTCCTTCATGGTATATTTATTTTCCTATTCTGTAAATTTCCATCTCTTCACCCTTGCATTGTTGTCAAGAAGCTATTTTCATTGTTGTACCATCGCAGTTGTCACTCTTGCTTATCTTTTCCTTCAATTCCCTTCTCGGTAAATTTCTTTTTCTATTCTGTAATTTGATTTTGAGATTTCACACTTTTTATTGGTGAGTCCTCAAAAGCTTTTTATTTCTATTTATGTTCTTTAAAGTTTGCTTTAATATTTCTGAGTTGTTATTAATTTGTAGAATTAAACGCATTTTCTTGCTTAATGGGCATGGGTATAATTGTGTCACTAGAGTGAAAGGAGAGGAGAGAGTAGTGTCCATTTGAAAAACCAAAAATAACATAATTAAAAATGTATGTATTGGATATCATCCATCAAAGTATTTAATGGATGTATTTTATCCATTTAAATAAGTCATGGTTAAATTGGATATTTGAAAATTAATGGATGTTCTTTCTTTTTTCCCATCCATTATAATCCGATCCAAAATCCATTTGTAATCCCTAAAACAGCCAATCGACTTTGTCATTTTGAGTCATGACTCATGACTTTGTTATAATCAGATGCTTCATTGCATATCAAGTTTTTCATTTGGTTAATTGTTGATGATGTCAATGCACTGGTATTTTATTCTCTTAGCTTTCATCTTTATACGTACATAGTTCTCCTTCATAGTTGTATTGATGTTGGCTTGATTTTATAATTAAATCTGCTGAAATATTTGTACATTGGCACTGTTTCATATACGGTGATCAAGTGGTTCTATTTTGCTGTTTGATGAATTTGGTACTATCTATGTGTTATTGTACTTGTAGGTTAGTCTTCCTATTATCACCAACAATGGCTGATGGTCAAGAATCAGACAAGAACATTGAGATATGGAAGATCAAGAAATTGATCAAAGCATTGGAATCTGCTAGAGGTAATGGCACCAGCATGATTTCTTTGATTATGCCTCCACGTGATCAAATATCCCGGGTCACTAAGATGTTGGGTGATGAATTTGGGACTGCTTCAAACATCAAAAGTAGGGTGAACCGACAATCAGTGTTGGGAGCTATTACTTCTGCTCAGCAGAGGTTGAAACTATATAATAAGGTTCCTCCAAATGGGTTGGTTCTTTACACCGGAACCATCATGACTGAAGATGGCAAGGAAAAGAAAGTGACAATTGATTTTGAACCTTTCAAGCCTATAAATGCATCACTCTACCTCTGTGATAACAAGTTTCACACAGAAGCTCTAAATGAACTTTTAGAATCTGATGACAAGTTTGGTTTCATTGTTATGGATGGAAATGGCACCCTTTTTGGGACTTTAAGTGGAAATACTCGTGAGGTGCTTCACAAATTTACTGTCGACCTACCAAAGAAGCATGGTAGAGGAGGTCAGTCAGCGTTGCGTTTTGCTCGTCTTAGGATGGAAAAGAGGCACAACTATGTTAGAAAGACTGCAGAACTTGCCACACAGTTTTTCATCAATCCAGCTACTAGTCAACCTAATGTTTCTGGACTTATACTTGCTGGTTCAGCTGACTTCAAGACTGAGCTGAGCCAGTCAGATATGTTTGACCCTCGTTTGCAAGCAAAAATATTGAATGTGGTAGATGTTTCTTATGGTGGGGAAAATGGATTTAATCAAGCCATTGAGTTATCTGCAGAGATTTTATCTAATGTGAAGTTCATTCAAGAGAAACGCTTGATAGGGAAATATTTTGAAGAGATTAGCCAGGACACTGGGAAATATGTATTTGGAGTTGATGACACTTTGAAGACACTGGAGATGGGTGCTGTGGAAACGCTTATTGTATGGGAAAATTTAGATATTACTAGATATGTGCTGAAAAATAGTAGCACTGGTGAGATTCTCATAAAGCACTTGAGCAAGGAACAAGAGTCTGATCAAAACAATTTCCGTGATTCATCCACCTCTGCAGAATTGGAAGTTCAGGAGAAGATGCCATTGCTTGAGTGGTTTGCCAATGAGTACAAACGATTTGGATGCTCCCTGGAATTTGTAACCAACAAATCTCAAGAAGGGTCACAGTTTTGCAGAGGGTTTGGTGGCATTGGTGGAATTCTTCGCTACCAGCTTGACATTAGATCATTTGATGAGCTATCTGATGATGGAGAAGTGGATGAGGATTCTGATTAAAGTGTCTTACTGTAAAACCATTACTTAGTTTTGGATGATCGGATGAAAGCATTGTCAATTCTGTGATTCAGGCCTCCAAGGATCACTTGGATTTTATGGTTCTAAGACTTCGTCTTTGCCCTTTGGTTTTTGATCCATAAGATATGTATTATTTACTTTTTTCCTTTCCTATGCTTCATGCAATTTAACGTTTTTGTTAGTCAATGTATGCTTATGGAAATTCTGCTAGATTGTGCGGTGATTCCTCAAGGAGCACCCAGACACTTTTACATGTGGAAGTCACGAGTTCAAGTGTTTTTTATCCTCTTGTGGAGATGATGGTTGCATCTGGATTTTATACTCTTTCTTGCTTGCGTGATTATTCTAATAACTCGAAATTGAAATATCATCAGGTTTTTTGGAAAGTAATTATTTATTATATTTAAGCAAATCTAAGCACATGCAGACAAGATAATGCTTAAATTTTAAATGTTTTTCTTCGCTTACTTGTTACATAGTGGTCGGTGGGGTTGCCTGATAAAGGGGAAGCTAATATTTCAATAAATATTTATTAAATAAATATTTAGTTAAGTTAATTACTCAAATACATCATTACTTTCAATGGCATACACTAATTAGCAAACCTCATCCGTCTTTTCTTTTGTTTGGTCTATTAGAATAAAATGTATCAGTTAGGATTATGTTAGTTTTTACCATTTTTCTTGTTATAAATGTCTCTCTATTGTAATTGTACACAATACAATTCAATATATAATACATCATCATGTTCTCATTTTATTTTCAAACACATTTGACATTCTTTCACTGTACCAAGAGCTGATCCATGGCTGCAAATTCAACTATCAAATGTGTTGTACAGCTTCATATTTTCTTAAACTTAGTTTCTTTTAAACTAAATGAAGACAATTACCTCCCTTGAAAACATTAAGCCTTAGCTACAATTAAAGGATCCAACCAATATCAATTCATTACTAGTGAAAAATCATCATGCAATACAAAATTAAAAGAAAATAAAGATGTAAAAGTTGATTCAAATGAGAAAAAGAAAGATAAAGGTTCTGACTCAAAAAAATTGTCACAATAGGAACAAGAAGATTAATTGATTCTTGCTTGGCTTCTTGCATTAATGACTGAGCCACTCTATAACCCAATGGTAAACTATCAACATCCGATCATCTTTGGAAAAAGTTTAAAACACTCTTTGCATCAAGAACAAGGGCAAGGATCAAGCAATTAAAAGTTCAACTCAAAGTTATAAAGAAAGATTCATTGACAGTTAATGTATATATGCTGAAAATTCAAAATATTGTTGATTCGCTTAAGGTAGTGGGTCACTCTATTTTAACTTGGGAAGACATTGACGCCATTCTTGATGGCTTAGGAGAGGAGTATGACCCAACTCAATCACAATTCAAGAAAGTTGATTCAAACAACTAGAATTTAACAAAGGCGGGAAGAGGATTTTTTTTGGGTTTCATAGAGGTGGAAGAAATGGTCAAGATGGAGGTTGTAGCCTATTCAAATCAACCTCCAAACCTCACTGTTAGTTGTGTGGAAAATTTGGACATACAACATAGGAATGCTATCATCAATTCAATCAAAATTATCCAAATCCCTTCAATCATTCTGGGAATTTTCCACCAAAGAATGAAGGACATAAACAACTTCATGTTGCATCAATTGGACACTCATCAAACCACATTAAGAACAATCATTCTCAAGGTTTCTTCACATCACTTGTCCAAGAATCCAATCCAAGCTGGTATCCTGACTTAGGATTATTGCATCACCTTACTCCAAATTCAACAAATCTTCTTAATAGTAGACCTTATCAAGGCAATGACATGGTACACATAGGTAATAGATCAGGTATGTAAATTAAACATATTGGAAAATCAAGATTGCAACATAATTCAAATCAATCTTCATTTGTATTAACAAAACTATTACATATGTCTAGCTTGACAAAAAATCTGCTCAATGTGTCACAATTTGCTAAGGAAAATAATATTTTCTTTGAATTCTATCCTAACTTGTGTTTTGTAAAATCTCAAGCTACTAAGGAGACTCTTCTCCATGGCAAAATTAAAAGTCTTTATGTTTTTGATGAATTGTCAGTAGTTACTAAGTCAAATCTTCAAGACCAAAGAATTAAAGAGTCAAACACTAATTGTGCTTGCTACTCTAATTTAGTTTCTAAATCCTTTATTTGCATGTTATCTATAGTTCGATTGCATTCAAGACTACGACATGCTTTATTTCTCATTGTAAAAAAGCTTTGAACTCCTATAACATATGCTATAATAATAATAATAATAAATCTGAGTTTGTTTGTAAATCTTGTTTGAGAAAAATGCATCAATTGCCTTTTAATAACTCTAACTCTATCTATTCTAAACCCTTTAAACTTATTTATACTAATCTCTGGAGTCCAATAGCAACACTTAGTTCTAATGGAGCAAGATATTATATAAGTTTCATAGATGTTTTTAGTTGTTACACATGGACCTTTCTGTTAAAGACTAAGTCACAAACTGTTAATGTTTTCCAATAATTTAAATCAATGGTTGAAAACCAATTTGAAACAGAAATCAAAGCTATACAATCTGACAATAGTGTTAAGTATATTGCTCTTTCTAAATTCTTAACAGAACATGACATCCAACATAGAAAGTCTTGTCCTCCCACTCATGAACAAAATGATACAACAGAAAGAAAACATAGGCATGTGGTTGAAACAGGTTTGGCATTATTAGTTGAATCACTTTTGCCTTTAAAGTAAAGCATTTGCTATTGCTATATTTATTATTAATCGATTACCTACTGAAAACCCATATTACAATTTTTTTAAAGTATTTGTCTATGCTTGTTATCCTTTTCTTACTCCCTATAATGCAAACAAATTAAACTTCAAATTAACTCAGTGTACATTTCTTGGATATAGCACACAACACAAAGGATACATTTGCTTGTCACCTTCAAATAGACTCTATATTGCTAGGCACGTAATATTTGATGAATCAATATTTTCTTTTAAGGTTAATTCACACCTTGTGAGCATTGATGCTCTTGATCCTATAGTGCCAAGTATAGTCATTATCTCTCAGACATATTTTGATTCTTCCTCTAATAATTGTACTCAAGATGCAGATCTACATCCCACTTTTGATCAACCAATTGTCACGTATACAAAATGTTCATCCAATGATCACAAAGGGAAAGGTAGGTATATTCAAACCTAAGGCCTTCCATGCTTCAGTTGAACCATCTACAATTGCTAAAGCACTAGACCAACCACACTAGCATCAAGCAACGTTGGAAGACTACAATGCTTTAATGAAGAACAAGACTTAGATGTTAGTCTCTCTACCTCCTAATTGACAACTTATTGGTTGTATATGAGTGTTTCAAACCAAGTACAATGCCTATGGTTTAGTGCAAAAATATAAGGTCAAGCTTGTGGCCAAAGGCTTTCACCAAAAAGAAAGATTTGATTATATTTAGTCTTGTTGTTAAACTTGTTACCATCCATATTATTCTTTCACTTGCTCTATTTAAGTAATGGCCAATTCACTAACTAGACGTAAACAATGTTGTCTTGAATGGGGAGTTGCGAGAAGAGGTGCTTATGAGTTAACCATCAAGTTTCATAGTTGGAAATCAAAAGCTAGTATGCATACCGACAAAAGCAATTTATAGTCTCAGTAATGCTCCTATTCACATGAGATTCCATGCTGCCAAATTTGACAACTCACTCTTCATCAAATTATCTCAAACATCATCCCTATATATACTTGTCTATGTTGATGATATTTTGATAACAAAAAGTTCATTGTTAGAAATACAAGCAATCATTGAAGCTTTTCATTCTAAATTTGCTCTAAAGGATCTTGGTCAACTCCAATATTTTTTGTGCATTCAAGTAGTAAGAAGTCCAAAAGGCACTCTCATCTCTCTCAAACAAAATATATTACTGATCTTCTAAAGAGAGATAATATGGAATCATGCAAACCAATGCCTACACCTATGATTTCCAATCTCAAACTCTCTGCACATCAAGGAATTTGTTTTTATGATCCTCACTTGTATAGATTGATAGTAGAAGCATTACAATATATCACTATAACACCATCAAACATCACCTATTGTGTCAGTAAGGTCTGCCAATTCATGCACAATCCTTTGGACACTCATTGGAAGGTAGTCAAACACATACTCAGATACCTTCATGGAACTCAACAATTTGGTTTACAATTTGAAACATGCTTAAACTTTCACTTGATTGCCTATTGTGATTTTGATTGGGGAACTAATCTTGACAACAGAAGATCAACCTCCAGATTTGGTATTTATTTTGATGGTAACCCTATAAATTGGTTTTCAAAGAAGCAACAGGTTCTGAGCTGATCAAGCACTGAGGCTGAGTATAGGTGTCTTGCTTCAATAATTACAAATATTTTATGGATTCAATCTCTGCTAATAGAACTCAATATCCAACTACAAACATGTCCCACAATTTACTGTGATAACTTAGGCACTAATCGACTCTCAGCTAATCCAATACTTCATAATAGAACAAGGCTTTTTGAATTGAATTTACATTTTGTTTGAGAAAAGGTTGTTAGCAAGTAAATATCAGTTCATATTTTCCTGCCATTTATCAGATCGTTGATGGTCTTACAAAGGCTATCTTTAGCACCAATTTCTTTGATTTTTTATCCAAACTTAGAGTTCTTTTGTAACATCCTTGTTTTATTTATAGAGTTTAAGGAAATAATTTTATATTGAAAAGAGGAAACTAAATTAAATTCGCTTGTACTCAGAATACAAAATACGGAAATGTAAAACTTTTATTTAAATTACTTAGAATTGCAAAACTTTTCAGTAATAAAATGATGAAAAATAAATAAAATTAAGTAAATAGCTGAATTGATATACTTGTACATCAATCTCATTAATATACAAGAGTTTCATATTTACAAAATATAATTTTAAAATACATTAGGACTCATCTACATAATTTATAAAATACAAAATACAGTAAGTCCTAATGAGCAGTATATCCACACCAAAATACTGAAGACGATTTTAGTTGTCATCCCCAAACCATCCTTCTATCTTTGCTAGTTCTTCTAGGGATAAGTCTTCGTCTTCACCAAGATTGCCCGCATTAACTACCACGTCAGTACCCGTGATTTGCTCTACGGTAAAATGACTTGGTCTTCCATACTGATTATGATTCCGAAAAGTATATACATAATTCCATGCATTTGGCAGTTTGACCAGACCTTTGTATATATACAA